TATCAAATTCTTTGATCATACCTTTGAAAGAAACCCATCAAAAGCTAGCTTATAGTTACTGTCATCATGATCCTTAGGAACAACTCTTTCATCCACCCAGAAAACATGCCATGTTGACCAATCCACCGCATCAACATACGGAGGTTCCACCAGTTTCCTGAAAGTTCAATTGTCAAATTGTGGGGAAAAATGAAATGGTAAAAGTAAGAAAATAAAGGGCAGTTTAAGACCTGAGAGACTTGATGAGAGAGCCACCAGACAAAACCACAGTAAAACTGCCTTTCTCTTTGGAGAACTTATCAGCCAGATCGGCGGTGTATTTACCTAGCGACACCGACAGATCCTCCTCGGAATCAAAAACCTCCACCTTTCCTTTCCCTTTCTCCGCCATGGTTCTCCAACAATATCTTCCAGAACCCGAAACGCCTCTTATCCCGGTCGAGAAAACGAGCGCCTTGTGGGTCAGGGGGTGCGATGATCGTGAAACGAGCAAAGGAATACGATGTAAATTTGGCAGTGACGGCGATGATGGGAGTGTGCGAAATGGAGCGATGAAATAAAGGTGCGAAGATGACATCCGTAATGCGCACTTTGAACTTATAAATTGACCGTCGACGAAACCTGACTGGTAAGTGGTTAGTGGGTTTGGTTTGTGGGTTTGGTTTGGGTCGTGTCGGAGGGTTTTTTTTTGGGGCAAAACTTTTAGGGGTAATTTACGTATTTAATACTTAAATTATTAATTTTAATTTATTTTAGTATTTAAATTTTTATTTTTTAAATTATACCTAAAGTTTAGTTTTTATTTTATTTTAATACCTTACAGTTAAAAACTTAATACATTTAATACATAAACTATTAGTTTTAGTCTGTTCTGGTACCTAAACTTTCAATTTTTTTCAAAATTTAATATTAAATTTTGAACATATACTAAAATGAAATAAAATAAAACTTAAGTATGATTTTAAAAAAAATTAAAAGTTTAAATACTAAAACGGATAAAATTTGATAATTTAAATACTAAACACGTAATTTATTCAAACTTTTAGTTTGTTGAAATGGTGACGGTGAGGTGGCGGTACTTACGTGAGAAAGGAGTTAAATTATCTACTTAATATTTATATCATAGTTAAATTAAAATAATTTAATTTGTTATATTATTAAATTTAAGTGATTTATTTTAGGGTTGATAAAATCCAAGCCGTTTTATAAGGGTAAAAAATAATAATTTAATTTGTTATATAATTAAATTTAAGTGATTTTAATTTGTCACACAAATATGCTTATTAAATCAATACGTCAATAACCACATTCATGAATTTAACTAATATTTTAATATGGCTCAGATTGAGTCGAATGGGCTGTGAGATTATACCCGATACTAGGGACCAAAATGACAGCTGTGGGATTTGAACCCACGCCCTTTCGGACCAGAGCCTAAATCTGGCGCCTTAGACCACTCGGCCAAACTGTCATATATAAATTGCTCACCACTAATATTATTTAAAACTTTTATTTGATGTACACAAGATAAGCTATTATCGCAAGTTGATTTTAATGATTTCAACTTCAGTTATTATATTTCAAAATCTATAATAATTACGAGCACAGATAGAATCAAACATTCAAAGGAACAAAGATTTATTAAATATTTGAATTTAAAAATTAAGAGGAAATTTTGAAATTAAAATCAGGGACGATTTTTTATTATTTGAAAGGGAAATCCATTCCTCCATCTCCTGTGTTTAAGAGAGCAAGGAGTCTCCAAGAGGGCTTTAAGGTGCATGATCATACAAAGAGATCAATTCTCTCATTGACACCGAAAGAGGTTAAAGCGGAGCACCCTACATGGCGAGAGTAGAGAATCAAACTTACTGCAAATGGAGCCTTAAAGGTGAAAGATTGGGGTGGCATCATCGGCTTTATAGCTAAGAGATGGGGACGGCTTTGTGCTAGAAGGCGGTGCCTTTTACATTCGGTCAGCCCCTTCGGCTGAAATTGCTGAGGCCCATTTGGTTATTCATGCACTTCACCTTACGTGGCCCTTGCCTAGGGGATGCAAAAACTTATGTTTTATCTCTATCTTATGCTCCTAAGTTTGTTAACCTACGAAACGAGGATGGATTAGATGGAGCCTTTCATGCAACCCATAAAACGAACTTAATAATTAAATAGAACATTCTTTTTTTTAAAAAATTGAGTTTAAATAATCGATCTGCAAAGTGTGTATTATTAACAATTAAAAAATATATAAACAAATTTTATTTTTCTACTCACCATAAACTATTAAAAAAAATAAGGTAACTCATGCATTAAACTTTGGTTTTGATTGTGATGTCTATTTCTAAATTATATAATTAGAAAATTTATCTTGTGATGTTAAGCGATTGGGGTAAATCTATATTTTTAAATACCCTGCAGTCTCAGATGCTCAAATCACTGATATAATTTGATTTGTATCATTATTATTTATCATATTATACTCACCCGACGAAAGGATTAATATTAAATTTGGCCTTTAAACTGTAATTAAAATATTAATTTAATTCTTTTTATAATTTTTTAACTATAATTCTTAAAAGAAATTAAAGTATCAAATATATATATAAACTTGTATGCTTGAAGAAGTTTTAAAATATCAGTATTATGTTAAATAATTTCATTTAGTTATTAATTTAGATGTTAAATATATTTTTAAAAATATTTGTTGTGAGTATTAATTTTATTTGAATTCATCTATCAAACTAAGAAACAATATTTTCCCGAGCTTAATAAGTTGTCTCAATAATAATAAAAATGTTGTTATTCTTAAAAGTCTCGAATTTAAACAATTACATTTGTATGTCGTGTATTTGTCAATAACTGACAATAATACCAACTACGAAGATAATGATACCAACTACAAAAGATACGACGATTGACGAAGATATTTGCCATAGATTTTTAATATTTCTCAATCTAACATGTAAACATAATTTTTTGTTCTTTTATTTTACTTTTTTTTCCTCTTTATCTTTATTATAAATATTATTATTCAGATTAGTTATTTTTTTCAATCATTTATTCTTTTTGAAAAAATGAGATAATATGTAATTTATTAAATATAAATTTTTAAAAATATTTTTTTATCAATCTGGAGTAAGTACAGGGTAGTATCTGTTTAAAATAATTTTTAACCTTTCGACATTAAATGTTCACACTCCTGACATTAAATATATAAACTTTTAAATTTTTTAAAAGCATACCTAACATTTATTTTTGTTTCATTTTATTACTTCGTCGTTAAAAACTCAACAACACTGCACTTTTATAGTTAAATTACATTATTCATCACTCAACTATCTTCTCACTCCTATTTTGGTACTATAATTTAAAAATTTTCAATTTAACTACTCAACTTTTAAATTTCTCATATTTTAATCACTCTAATTTATTTTATTAATAATTTTTGTTACATGACATTTTATATTGTTATTTATTAATATATCATCAAAAGTAAAACAATTAAATTTGAAAGTTAGAGTGATTAAATTATGAGTAATTTGAAAGTTAAGTAATTAAATTTAAAAAAAAATAAACTTTAGTGACCAAAATAGAAATGACAAGATAGTTGAGTGATGAATGATGCAATTTACTTATAAAAAATGTCACATACAAATCTTATGTTAAGTTTTAACCCCGAAACACTAAAACGAAAGAAAAACTAATGTTAGGTATGATTTTAAAAAGAATAAAAGTTTAAGTACTTAAACGAACTAAAATTAATAATTTAGATACTAAACAAGTAATTTAACCTTTAGATTAAAAGAATGGTTTTTAAGCGAACGCAACTTTTCGTGATTGGTTACACTGGAACAATGACTCGTGGTACAGATGCCAACAGTGTAGGCCACAAATTGTAAGCCCCACTGCTGCCATTGTAGCGAAACCTTCGCCGCTCGCTCAGCAACGCGTTTGCCTGCCCCCTTGCCATTCGGCCACGCCACATAATTTACTAGTATTACCCAACCCTTCGGTTGGATGATGTTAAAAGTATTTTTTTTTTTGTAATTTTAGGTCCATTTTTTTTATTTTTTGATTAGTTAGGTCCATTCTTAATCCATAAGAAAAAGAGATATTTTACCCACGAGATAACACCTTATCACCCACCGAATTAGCTAGAACGTATAATAACGTTTGTTTGATATAGTATAATAAGAAGGGATAAATGTTAAAACTTTTTTTACTCTCAGTATTTGGTCTTGGTTAATTCAGACTGACCCACATTATACACCTATTTTAGTAGGAGAATCTTTTTGCGAAGATTTTCTACCGACACAAGGCTTTAAACTCGAGACATGCTTAAATAATATTAAATTATTTATCACTTGAATCAACCTCATTGATATCGTTAAATTATTATTATATCGAGTTTAAATTCATGCCAGAAAATCCACACTTAAAGATTCACCTATCAAAGTCCATATACGACCTAGATTTGATTAATCATGACAAAGCTACGAGAACAGTAGGAAAAACACTAAATTAGTAATCAAAATAATTTAATTGAAAAATATCTTTAAAGGAGGGAGGTTGACTTCCAAATTTGTAAGATATTGCCAACAATAGTTGTTTAAGTATAGCAAAAATTCTTTGTATGAATTAGCCTATAAACTTTCTTAGCCAAGCCAATACAAACGACCTTTTCAGCCGATGCCCTTTCCAAAGGCAATCATCGTCTAGAAATCTCCCATCCAAAACGCTTTGTGTATAAACTAAGCAACCCCCCCCCCCCCCAAAGAAGCCATCTTTCTGCATTCATCTCTTTTTAGGGTATAAATACCTAAATCAGTTCTCCTCCATCCTTTCGCTTGTTTTCTTCCTTGTTCATATGTGGGTTATATTGTTGATTCTCGAATTATCATGAGCAACGTTCCCAGTTCTTTAACCGACTCTTCTTTGACCCTTTTCAAGCTCGCCATTTCTGCATCTGATCCCTGGCCTTTCTCCCTCGTTTTCTTATAACGTTTTTACTTTGATCTCATCTCTTTTTGAGCAATAACCGTAGAGAAAAGGGGTTCTTCTTTTTCTTTCGTTGATTGTTGAAGATAAGAATGGGGATCGGAGACAAACACCATGTGAATTTTCACCTTCATCATCATGAGAGGAAGGAGGTGAAAGATATTCCGAAAGGGTGTGTGGCGATCATGGTGGGTCAAGGGGAGGAGCAGCAGCGGTTCGTGATCCCAGTGATTCACGTCAACCACCCGCTCTTCATGCAGCTGCTCAAGGTTGCCGAGGAAGAGTATGGATTCGATCAGAAAGGACTCATCACCATTCCTTGCCATGTGGAGGAGTTTCGCAATGTTCAAGGCATGATCGATAGAGATCGTCACCACCACCACCACCACGTCTGGTGTTTTAGGGTTTGAGGAAAAGTATCCGTGGATATTTGATTCCAAAATGATGAAAGACATTTGGGTTGCCTTTGCTTTCCTTTTCTTTTTCCATTGTCATGTGAAAACATTAAAAAAATGCATGGAATCGAATAAATTTGAGGAGAATATTAAAGTTGTGGTGGGAACTCGGATGGGGCAAAGGGTTTTCGTTGGAGCCATTTGATTTAGCTAGTGGTGGATGGGCCCTTAATTGAAAGGGTAAAAATACAATACACATCCTTCAATTAGTTTTTAAAATATTATAATTTAAAACAATAATATTTTTTGGGTACTAAAAAATTAGGTTAGAGTGCCTCCTTCAGTCCAGTGTCAGGACATATTTAAGATTCAATTGAGATTTACATAGAAATTTATAGATTACTCATCAAGAGTGACGGTGGTAGGATTCGAACTTGATCTTATAAACTCAAATTCTTAAATCTCAATCACTTATATCAACACTCGTTGACGATAAAACAATAATATAAACTAATATAATGTTCCTTGTATTCCATTATTTTGTCATATTGGTCAAGCTCGGAGTTGTAAGAGATAAATTTGATCAAATCTCAAGTCATATAAAATAAAAAATAACTATTATTATTTTCAAAAAGTAATCTATATATTTAATATATTTATTTTAATAGAAGTAAAATAATGTGATATATAAAAATAGAAAATATATTGTTATTTATTGACTTTTTTTTAACAATAACAATCGAATTTCACTACTAAAAACAAATGAAGCAATCATAATTACAACGCATTCAATCATAAAGAGAAAACTGGAGACACTGATCGTCAAAAAAACTCATACAAAAATACAAATTAAGCCCAAAGATACCCACTCAATCATATATTGTTATTTATTGACTTTTTCTAATAAGATATTTTAAATGAGATAATTTTAAAATGTAAAAAGACTAATTTAGTGGGTGGAGGGAAAAATAAGAGTAAATTATTTATTTAATACTCCAACTATCATTTTATTTTGTTTTGGTCACCCAACCAAAATCATACATGACATTTAGTTTAAATTTCATTTTGATTACCCACCATTAAAAATTAATAACGTGTCACCATAAGATATGACATGTCATCATTGAAAAAAACAAAAATATCACGTAAGTAGTTCTGTTAATTTTTTTTAACAAGGGTGACACAAAATGTAACTTTAAGTATGATTTTGAAAAATAAAATAGTTAAATGATTGAAACGAACTAAAAGTGATAATTGAGGTATTAAACGTACAATTTACCCCGAAAATCAATTTATAATCAAATTAATAATAATGAATGAATATTTTATTTCAATTAATACGGATAAACACGGCGTCCCCTCAACCAAATCTAGTTTTAGATCTCCTTTTTGAGACTTGAGAGACCAAGGAATTTGAGTGGATGGAAGATGGGGGTTGTTTAGGATTCCATGAAATATGGGTACGAATATGCACGAGACCCGAATCCTATGGTTTCAATCTGATCGGTTGATTTTTTTTAATTAGATTTGGGTTGGATTTTTTTAAAGATGGTGTTCGAGTTGATTCGGATTTAGATTTAAAGTGAAAAATACTTGAATTGACAAAAAAATAATATAATTTTATCTTATATATTTAGGGATAATTACAATAATACCCCTATATATATTATTATTTTTAATTAAATCACTATTTTTATTGAATAAAAATAATATTTTTTTATTATTTAGGATCAGATTGGGTTCAGATTATATTTCAAAAAGTTAAGTCGGGTCAGATTTCGGGTGGATGAGTTATTATTCTCGGATCGAGTTGGATAGAACAAAAATCCGTCCCTACTTCCACAGTCTTACGACCTTGTCTTTCTCTAATCTCTCGGACCCTTTTCGGCTTTGCCTATCGGGGCGTTTATATTTTGTATTGTGGTGGGCTCAGCTCCCCCCCCCCCAAACCCGCGTTTATATTTGTATTGTGGTGGGCTCAGCTCCCCCCCCCCCCCCCAAACCCAAATTTTCAAACTTCAGCTCTTTGGAAATAGGGATTTTTCGGCGGTTTCATACATGATCCGTCTTATTATTAGGAGAGAATAATCACCAACTAATCCTTGTATCAATAAGGGACAACTGATGTTTAGGGCTTGGAACTTGGAGGGCACTTGTCCCTGAGATTTTGGGAATTTTGATTTTACTCCCTTAAATATTTTTAAAAGCTAATTAGACCTTAAAAAGTTTTGAATATTTTAATTTAACCCAAAATTGATTTCCTAAAATTCATCATTGACCATATCATTATTGTTGATTAGGGATGGACATGGGTTGGGTCGGGTTTTCGATCAACATGACCTGAAAATAAATTTCCTCCACCTAAATTTTTTTCGATTCGACTTTTTGTGATTTTATCTTATTCGAAATCTGACTCGAGTTTCTGAGATAAAACTTGAATATGATCTGACTTGAACCAAAATAAATATATTTATAAAAATTATTAATTTTCTTCAATAAAATAGGAATCTAATTGGGAAAAAATAATATAAACATGGGTATTATCACAACTGTCCTTAAATATAAGATATAATTATATTATTTTTGGATAGAATAGGATAAGATATTTTTCACCCTAAACACAAACATGAACATGACCCTATCTTAATCTCTAAAAAACTTAACTCAATTTAAACCCAATTTTTTTTAAAAAAATATCAACATAATCAACTTAGATAAAGTCGAAAACAGTCAAATCCGAGTTATCTTTCGTGTTGATAATTGGGTATCATTACTCATTTAATGGGAATCAATACGAGTTCTTCCGATATAAGTGAACAATCTCGGGCTTAATTTTTTTAAATCAACTTTTTATGCCCAAAAAAATAACTTGTAAAGCACCAACATGCAAGGAATGATTTAGGCAATTCGTGAGGTAAAAAAAAACTATTGAAAGGCCCTTAAAAACACTTGATAAAACCTTGAGATTAGACTTTGGTTACCTACCAAATTAGAACAATATTGCTTGCTTCAACCATTCAAAACAAGAAGATAATAAGAAAGTGGCCTCTACCTGCATGTATGCAGGGATGATCGAGAAGATAGGTAGGGACAGTCGTCCCTTAAAATTTTAAAATTATTATATATTTTAAATTTTTCTATGTAATTTTTATTGAAAATATAATTTTACCTCAAAAAATTTTATAAATTTAAATTTATTCACTAAAATATTATAAATTTAAATTCATTTTTCTTAACATAAAATCTTACGTCATTAATAGTTTTGTGACCATAAAACCCAATCATAAGGTGAAGTAAGTTAAAACAATTGATGAATTACGTAAGAGACTCAATCCCATAAGTCATTTCTATCACGTCACATCAAGACTAAGAGCATATTTACCTTTGAGTACCAAGAGACAACTACAGCCTTAGCTTTCCCTTTCGAAGAACCTGCTCGAAGACACTGTTTGGAAGCTTCCACACATAGGAAAACACATGATCGAACAGTTTAGTTGGCTTCTCTTCAAACCTTCAATACAACTATGATTTATACATTACATACCATCGTGCCATGTTTTTCGATCAAACATAACTTTTATGAAGACAGAGAACATGTCACAGAATGAACTGAAAACTAGCTAGCACGCTGGCCAAAACACCCCCACTAAAGTAGCATGCATAGATGGAGGCCATTAATCGAATCATGTCGAAGATCATCATCGACAGTGCTAAGGAGTTCGAAATTGAGAGAGTTCCATTGACGAAGGCTTCTCCCAACCAGTAAAAAAGAGTCTTAGTCATCGACCAAAAATATTTTGTAATTATCATCGAGATTATTTAATGAGTTAATTTAAAATATTACAAAGTTGGAAGAAATGGGCCTAAAAGCTTGTTTGTAGGCTTTTTTGGCCCAATACGGTAGACCGGAAAAAAATATAAAAATAGAGCACATTGACTTTTAATTTGAGATCTACGACATTTGTTATAGTATATGGAGCTCGTCACCTCAAAATACGAGTTTCAATAAAAAAAATATTTTTTTTTAAAAGTTATCCTTGATGTGAGAAAAACTAATAAAAAATATTTTTTTATTAGACCTTATCACATCGAGATGATGAGTTCAAAAAAATATTATTTAAATAAACTCGTCACCTCAACGTGATAATAAATCTCCAATTAAAAAATTAAGCTACCCTATTTCCCTAATTTTTTCCTCTCTGACCTATTGGGCCAAAAAAATACCCCTTGTTCGTATATATCATTTCATGTCCCATGAACAATTGTATGCATAGTCATGTATTTAAACGGAACATATAATTATTATATTTTAAGATGCAACTTTTATGAGAATTTAGAACTTTTAAAGCGTACGTCCGTCTTCAATGCATGTACTATAATGAGTGGGGTAATACAAGAGAGCCCCACCAATAAAATTAATATGGACCAATGGAATGATCAAAGTGGTAAGTACTTCAAACTATGACAACTTGTACACTTTGGACTTAAGACTGCTATTACTCTTCACCATCTTATTTCTATGACAACTTGTACACTTTGTACTTAAGACTACTATTATGGGAAGTCTCATATGCAAGCAGCTTAATATAAAATTAAAAAAATGTGTTATCTGAAATATTATTATTATTTAAATATTTTTTGTAAAAAATTTATTTAAAATATTATTATTTTTTCCGGAAATATTATTATTGGACGTTTTTTCGGATTTGCTAAAATATTGGGTAAAACATTACCTAAAACATTATTTTTTCTATCGAAAATGTTAATATTAGACATTTTACCGGAAATATTAAAAACATTAATGTTTTAGGTAATCTTTTACTGAAAATGTTAAAAAAATAATAACATTTCCGATAACGTATTTTCTTAGTCATATATTAAAACTATCGTACGGTAAAATTTACCATTATTACTCTTCATCATCCTATTAATATTTTATCTCCCTCTTTATTTATTTTATCCTCAATTAATGAAAGGGGTGATGCTGGTACCACCAAACCAAGTTCCATTCCATTTGGATGACCCCTTTGAA